AAATTTCATCATAGCTTTCAATAAATCAAAATACATTTCTCATTCAGATTTCAGGCCTTGTAACACATTTATCTTCTGTCTCCAATAGCCGAAGGTGGGTAATAATAACTCCCTTTGGTGTGAACAGGTTGAGCGCGAGTTCGGGATTCAACTTAGCAGCTATTGGAATCTGCAGATCAGTCCAGGTACCTATCATACAAGCAGTCCACTGCAGGGTCGAGTGGAGGTACTGCTGCAGTTGTTGCAGCTCCTAGAATCAAATAACCTAAGCCAAAAATGTTTGAGGGAAAACGAGATGCGAAGGATGTGGAAAATTTCTTGTGGAAAATGGAAGTTTATTTCGAGGGGGTGAATATCTTAGAAGAAGGGATGAAAGTTCGAACAGCAACTATGTACCTTTCGAATACAGCTGCGTTATGGTGGAGACACAAATTGGCTGAAGTTGCGTCCAAGGTTGATACCTGGGACAAGTTTAAGAAAGAGTTGAAGAGGCAGTTTTATACTGAAAATGTTGTATACGAGGCCCGTAAGAAGCTGCGGGAATTGAAGCACAAGAGCACCATTCGTGAATACATCAAGGAATTCACGACCCTCATGCTCCAGATTCCTAGCATGCCTGATGATGTGTTATTGTTCTATTTCTTGGATGGTTGTGCAAATTGGGTAAGACAGGAACTACAGTGTCGGAGAGTTAAGACAGTGGACGAAGCCATTGTTGTGGCGGAGTCGTTAACCGAATTCCAGAGAAGTGCTGAAACGCAGGCAAAGCCAACCAAACCTGCCAAGGGAAATTTTGGCAAAGGCGGGAATGAGGGAAAAAAGGACAAGCTGCGGGGCAGGCCTGCTTGGAAACCTAATTATAAGGCTGATTACAAACCCGTTGGCAACAAACAAAGTCCTTGGTGGAAAGAGTGTGATGAAAAGAAGAAAGGAAAGGTTGCACCACGGGGGTGTTTTGTTTGTAAGGGGCCACATTTCATGCGAGTTTGCCCCAAACTCGTGTTGCTGGCTTCTATATCGGAAACACAGCAAGAAACTACAACCTGCCAGGACTGGGGGCTGGTCAGATGGGATCACTCCAGTTGTTTAATGCTCTTAATGCTAAGACCGTTCCGGGTTTGAACGGGGAGAAAGGGCTGATGTTTGTGCAGAACACCATAAAAAATATAGAACAAAATTCAACCCTTATATATACAGAACACCATCAAAAATAAAAGAACAAATTTCATATCATATAATACACAAAATCTTGCAATTAAAGGAAGGCCAGTTTATCTATTTTTTATTTTATTTTATTATTATTATTTTTTTTATTGCCGGGGGATGGGGACGGGAAGATCAAGAGGCAAGATACAAGAATTCCTTCCATTAAGGAAATGCCTTGATGGTTCCAGCAAGAGTGTCAAGGAGGAGTATTGATGTTGGATTGACATTTTTGTTGTGAAATGTCTAGTGTTTTTGTTGTACCTAATTCAAGTATAAGTTATGGTCTTTATGTGATTAAAAAGCCTAGCACAGTATGGTCATGTATAAGGTAAGGGATGCTGTCAACAGGTAAGGTGGTAGTAGGTGGAAACTTGTTGACTAAAGTATGCTAGAATCCTTTTGTAATTTATATAAGATGCCAGCTGTGTATGGTTTTAAAATATAGCAAGTTTTTCTTACTCTTTGTACTTATATATCTATCAATTACTTGCCTTAAGCCGAGACCAGAATGGCTATCACAACAAGCTATTCCTATTCAGGTTTGCTCTATAATTAGTGGTTATTAATGGGGTTTCTCAATGCCTTTTCCTATTCAGGTTTGCTCTATGGAACTTACGTACTTCATTTCACCATCGTAGCATTCTATGGAGATGTAGTACTCTTTAGTGTTTACATAATTTTCTGAACCATACCATTCATGTAGACAAACTATTCGTGTGATCCTAGTCTTTACGGTATACACAGCCTCTTTAGATTTCAACTTCCAGGTTGACTAATAATCAAGTAGAAAAATTAGCCAATGGAATTGAAGTTTGCACATTGAATCACATTGCAAAATTGTCTGTGAAAAGGCCATAAATTTAACAGAAGATTCCATTGAAGAAAACCGATATATTACCTTAACAATTGCCAGCAGCATTGTTAAGCAGCTGTAATATATATATATATATATGTGTGTGTGTGTGTGTTATTGCCATGACAAGGATGAAGCGGTGCAGTTGTTCAAGGCCTTCATATGCGACAAATGGTTCATAATGCTGTTAAACAAAATCATTTTTTTCAAACACAGACTTTTCGCCTTCAGTACCATTTGTCAACCCTTCTGCAACACTTTCCCAACTGCACCAATGTTAAACCTTTCATGGATTGGTGCCTATGATTGTGCCAAGCTTTTCTCACATAGTTGTATATGCAATGGTTAGCTTTTAACATGAAATAAAAATTGATTTTAAGTTAAAGCAACCAATGAAAATAAATGGCAGCAGAAGAAAAAGGAAAGCATAACAATGAACATTATATCGCCTACATGAAACCTAAAGAAAAATGCATAAACCTCTCAAAAATTGAGATTAGAATCATTTTTTTTCAAACACGTGCCTCGAGAGCTTATTCGCATTAGGCTTTAAACACAGACTTTACGCCTTCATTACCATTTTTCAAGCCTTCTGCAACACTTTCCCAATTGCACTAATGTTAAGTACTCTTACCATTTGCAGTGGCCAAAGGCAACCTCGATGTTAAAGTATCTAATTTTCAAGTGATCTCTTAGTAATTTACAAATTCAGGAATTGCTCAGGGGCTTCTTCCAGTTTCTCTACATTAAGGGCTAGAAATTTTTTCAACTGTAAAGCAAACATCAACTAAAGAGACGGCAATTAAAATTTTCTAGTAACTTTAGTTTTGTACCATTAAATGGGAAGATTGCACAAAAATAATCATAGAACACAAAAAGTATAGGTTAAAGAAAGAAAGTACGAGTGCCATGTGAAGTTGTGCTTTCTCAAATTGAGGAATGAACCTAATAGCCTGTTTTTGCTCTACAAGCTCACCCAAATAGGATGGACCAATGAAGACCTGGAACTGCAACTAAGGTTAGAGACTTAGTTTGTGCTTTACCCTTGAAGAGCAGAACTCAACACTTTGTAATTGCAGTGAAGTTTGGAAACTGAAGCAAAAAAATGAAGAGCAAAAACTGGCAAAACATGGATTAGTATATAATCATTATACTATAGTAGAAGAAAAGTGCAAAAATTGATTCTCCTCTATGGTAAAATGTAGAAAAATTGAATCAAACCATCAGAACTTTGAGATCAAATACATAAATAACAGAAAAAGCAATCTGGGACCTAAAAAGAAAAATGCCAAAATATTCTCTTTGGTACCAAATATTTCATAGCCTTTAAGCACTTGTCAAGGATATGAATAATAATTGATATGTGATATCAAACTCCATTTTAGTTCCTTAAATTTCTATGTTTAGCATTTACAAGAAGAAAAACATATTGTATATTGTTGATTTCAGCTGTAAAGTTCACATATTGTAGTCACTTATGACAAGAGGTCTCTCATTATTAATGTCCACAATATTTCTATATTTCTATTTTCTTGATTTTTTGACGGTTTTATTTGAAATATTTTTGTTCACAAATCGAAAATATATACACTTTCATAAACATAAAGCTACTAAGTTGTCCAGAAAAACAATTAGAAAGGGAAAGTTTTGCATATTAGTAAAAATCCACATAAGATAAAAGCAGAAACATATAAACACTAAAATTGAAATCCAAAAGAACACTTTACTGGTCGAGAATGGAATTCTTCGGGAAGAAGGGAAAAGAAAAACTTCAATAGATAGAAAATGATAAGCATTCAACTATAAATAAATCACATGGAATAATATCTTTCCTGTGAAATTGGGTAACTTCGTTCAATCTTCATCTCTTTTCTGGATTACTAATATTCATTTTCCATTTTCATGCCCACTTAGTTCATACTTAATCGAAAAATGTTTGTTGTGATTATTTAAATTTCCATCTCTAGCACTCAATCAGGAAAAATTCAAAACTTCTACATATGTAATTCTGTTTGTGTAGTTGCATGCTGTCAATTATACTGTTCTAACAAATAGCAACTACTCCTTTTGCCAAACTTGAATGTCATAGAGTTGTTTTTTGGTCTTACAGTACAAGAGATATGAATATCATTTTGAACATATATCAAATACCTTCCCTGCACATAATTCTCCACCCAACCATGGCTGTGGAGCTCATAATGAATCAGACAAATTTTGTTTCACAATCAGAACAAAACGCTGTGCAAGAAGCTACTTCTGGCCTTCAGAGTGTTGAGAAGCTTATTAGCTTATTTTCATATCAAAACAAGCAGATTCACTTATCTGAAGAAAAGGTGATCAAAATTGACTTAGGGAGATTAAGCATCAGGATGTTTAGGCTTTAATATGGATGAAATATGTCTCTCTCTATTTCGAATCAAAGTTTCATAAGTTCTAGCCGTTAATGGACTGGTGTAGAGCAGGGCATTCTTATATGTTCAGAGTGTAATGCTCATTTTTTTGCTTTTTCTTTGCTTTGAATGGTTAAAATGTAGCATTCTTATATGGAACAAGAGAATGAGATTTGTTCTCTCAAATATCTTTGTAGTTAAGCCAAGATTTCTTGTCCTACACTAGACTGGCATGATTATCATGAACAGAACACATAATCTGCAACAGCAAGCCCTAGAATTAGCTATTTTCTATTGCACCATCCATCCAAAACTCTCCATCAGTTGGAAAGTTAGGCCAAGATCAATATTTTTTACTCTTTTCATATGTTTTTTGAGTAAGGCAATATACAACATTGACATCCTCGATGTAATCAGCGTGGTAGCATCAGAGAGAATGAAATTGATCGTCAAAAAATTCTGAAAAGTTATCGCCTACTGATTTGTAATTCAACTTTTCATTATCTGGTAATGGTGAATTGAAACTTTAAAACCGAGCGATAAAAAGGTGGTTCCAGCAGTAAGTGTTGTTTATAGCATCAGTAACACAGTGGAATGTACTGTACATCATTCCTTTCTCTTCCCTCCAGCGATTATTGTTCTATATTACGAGTTACAAGTATGTATACATGAATCAAAAGGGAAAAGAAAATGGGTCCTAATCCTGATTAAAATATTGCTCGATTCGATCTCGGAGGCTGATCACAATTTGCAGCAATCCAACCTTGTAATTCACAGCAGAAAGGTGTTTCCACGGTTGGACTAAAACAATACGTATCTTGAAAGAGAGGTGATTGCATCCAACAAGATTCATCATTGTTATCAATTGCTTGATTCAATCTCGGAGGCTGATCACAATTTGCAGCAGTCCAACCTTGTAATTCACAGCAGAAAGGTGTTTCCACGGTTGGACTAAAACAATACGTATCTTGAAATAGAGGTGATTGCATCCAACAAGATTCATCATTGTTATCAATTGCTTGATTCGATCTCGGAGGCTGATCACAATTTGCAGCAGTCCAACCTTGTAATTCACAGCAGAAAGGTGTTTCCACGGTTGGACTAAAAGAATACGTATCTTGAAACAGAGGTGATTGCATCCAACAAGATTCATCATTGTTATCAATATAGCTTTGCAGAATTTCCTCGCCTCCAGTCAAGAGTGCACTTTCAGGTTCAAACAAGAATGGAGAATCAATACTGTTCCATGGCTGCTCCATGTGCAGCTGCTGTTGAAGCTGAGAGAAGGCTGCCTGTGATGACTGAACGCTGGTTTCTGGTCCGAAATCCATAGCATGAACATTGCTAGGAAAGCCACCAATATCCATAGGCAACTGATTTCCAAACTCTAGCATGCCAACATTAGAATGTGAGCCCAGATTTTGTGAATCTTTTTTAGGCCAGCCTGGAAAATCAGAAGTTATAAGTCTCTTGGTAAAAATATTTCTTGATGGACATAAGAGTGGAATATACATGGACATTATAGGACAGGATGGTCTCGCTTTTAGACATAACATCGCTTGGCTAATGTTTCAAACAATTTTGTGGAATACCACTTATAATTGCTGCAATCAGTCACAGATTGTGTCCAGATTTTGACAGAGAAAAATAGTAGTCACATAAGAGGGTAACATTTGTATGATTTTGAACTTTCACGCTTAATTCATTTTTTATCTCCCTTCGGCACATTCTCCCCCATAAATCCCCTGTTGTGAATCAAGGAAGAGAAGAAAATGTAGAAACAATTACATTTTAGTTGCTAAAGCAATTTTTTTGTTATATAAAGTGTGTCATTTGTTAATTTTCTGGAACCTGAGTCACTTGATTTACAAGATTCATTCAAAATATATACATAACTGTTAAGGGTTAATATCCCAAGTCAATTAAAGATGATGACAATACTCAAAAAGATTCACAAAATCAATTGTCATTAGCTATTCTTCGTATTCAACAACCATTGCCATGGAAATTTCTTACGAACACTCACATCTATTTACTTTGAGAAGTAAAACCTTGAGGCTTGAGGCTTACGAACACTCACGATTGTTATTTTGCGAGAAATAACAATGACAACAGCAACATTTGTTTCTCCGTTTAATCCATTGACAATTGTTATTGCTGTTGTCATTGGTGTCATCTTTCAGGGAGAAGTTCTTTATTTTGGAAGGTATAAACTGCGACTTAAATTCACATCAGCAATATCTTTCTGGTTATTTTTTTCGGGTTTCTTATTCTGAGTTTGACGATTGTTTTTGAAACTTCTGGCAGTATTGCTGGTGCACTTGTATTAGTCGTCGGGTTCTATGCTGTGATTTGGGGAAGAGCAGAAGAAGAAAAGACTAAAAGGAAAAATGAAAGTAACAATGCAGAAGAAGAAAAGTAACAATGGAAGAGCCTTTATTACAAGACCAGATCGAAGAAGCCTAGATTTTGTGACAACATAAGAGAAGTGATCAAGTCTAATAATTATTACATAAAACTGATCTCATAAGATTAAAACCTCCGATTCTTTGTGTTTTCTGTAATATAATTTGTAAGTTTATGTTGGGAAATTAAGATTTCTTATTTACTTATAAGAGTACTAGTGCTAAACGTCACATTCTGTGCAACAAACCATCTAAAGTAAAAATCAATTCAAGCAACATCTATCCATGAATGAATATAGAACAAGTATATGAATTCCAGAAAGAACAGAGAAACATGACTAAAAACTAAAAAGGGGCTAGTGAAAATACCTGGTTCGATTTCTTGTTCTTTGGACCTGAGAAACTGAATCCGTTTCTTGACTTCACCCAATTTGGCATCAAT